GAGCATCAAAAAGGAAAACATATGAGAGTGACAATGAGGAAGCTATAATGTCCCCATTTCAAATATATTTTGGAAGGGACAAGTGTCAAAATATAAACGTCATACTAAACTGCTGATGCATTTTGATGATTCGGGTATTATTTATTTGTGCATGTCTTATTTATTTATTTATTTATTTATTTATAATTTTATTGTTTATACCCTGCCCATTTGGCTGGGTTTCCCCATTCACTCCAGGCAGAATATATAAAACTTAATAAAGCGTCAAACATTAAAAACTTCCCAATACAGGGCTGCCTTCAGGTGTCTTCTAAAAGTTGTATAGTTCTTTATCTCCTTGACATCTGAAGGGAGGGTGTTCCACAGGGAGGGTGCCACTACTGATAAGGCATTTTACATTTACTATGTAAAATAATTTTATATACCACCCTTTTCCATAAAGGCCTCAGAGTGGTAATACAAAAATATATAAAAGGCATATATCTGAGCACTGGCAGCAAAAGGGAGATTTGGCCCAATGTGTCAATAAAGGCAACTCAAGGCAAACCTCTGCATCTCAAACACTCTAAAACTATAAGACTGCTTTGTTTATACTGATGGTGAAAGTGGAAAAGCATGTAGCACCAGCATAATGTTCACCATATAAGCTTGCAAATGCCAGATACTTGGGACTGTTCTTTATTACTTCATATATGCTTAGGAATGTTCTTTATTACTTCATATGTTTCTTTCTTTAAAGAGGAGAACAGTGACTCAAACGGTCTTTTGTGTCGGCAGGCGAGTTTTTTTTGGGGGGGGGGCATCCTAGGCGTTTGTGAATTAAATTTTAAGACACACTAAACTTAGGGCACACTATTGTGCCCAGGAAGAGTTTGGAATTATTATACTGGGTTAAGCAAAATCTATGCCTGCCCTGTTCCCAATTTCCAACTGACAAGGCTGCACAAAACACCACTGTTTATGTACAAGCTAAACAGTCACCTGCATTTATAATAAATAATATGCTTAAACAGCTACATTCTTGCTTGCTTGCTTGGGGACATAAGTGCAATCTTTTACCCCACTATATCAACACACTAGATTGCTTACGTGAAAGAAGGCCTGTGAAATCCAGCAGCAGAGCATTCTTCTTCTGATAGTATCTCTGCCTATTTGTACCATCCAGTAAAATAGCAAAAGTTAGACAAGGCAATAAGTTCATAAACCAGCTCAAACAAGCAGCAACCTTCTGATAAGGTTGCTCTACAACAACAATAAGCCCCCTCCTTAGGGCATTTCTTTCCATGTGATCTCAATCAAGAAGACTCGCACAGCAGGGCCATGCACCCTGCACCACACAACTGTACTCCATGACAGCTCCTCCCAAACACTGTTGACGTGGTAGAGGATGGTCTGAAGAGGATATATCTAATGACATGTGTAGGCTCTATCCTACACATGCAGCTCATGGAGACAGCTTACAATCCATTCAGCTGGATTTCCCCCTTCAGATCTTCCCCTGACAGGTTGACAAGTGTGAGGGTGGGGGCACAGACAATAGCACACACAGGGTGAGCATGTGCTAATCTGCTGTCCCTACGCAACTGAGATCACATGGAGGGAACCACAGGGGCGGGTCTACTATGAAATTAATGAAGCTTAAGCTTCAGGGGCCCTAATCCGGGAGGAGCCCCAGAAGCAACTTTAGTCCACATTGCTTAAAAATTTGGGGTCTGGTAGACCCAATATAAGTCGCACTTGGATGTTTACAAAATGTGTCTGAACTCAATCAAAGTTCATGTACGTAAGTTGACATTAAACAACAAAAAAAACCCATATATTTACTGTTAACATTGTGATTTCTAGTATCTGGACTGCTTTTTCTTCAAGCCCTTTTCAAAGCCAAATTATAAAGTTCAGGGAGAAACAGTACCTCACTTATAATAGCAAGCCATTCTTTCTTCTTTACAGTGCAGTAAATGTAACACCGTATTTTAAAAGATGTATTATCACAGATCTATAGAACTATTGTCCAAATAGGTCTCTAGAAGTCAACCGATTCCCACACCCTTCTCTCTCTCCAGCATTCATCATCTGAAGTCTATCCACCTGCATGGAAAATAGGATTAACACAAACCACTCAAGAGATGATTATACACAGCTACTTTATAAAAGCTTCCAGAGCCAAGGATTCCACAACCTTCCCTTGGTGACTCAATAGCTGTTGGACCGTGGTAAGCAATATTACTGAGGAACACATCACCCACCACTGTCCCACATTATAGTACTTTGTGGCTACCATAATTTAAGGAAAAGTTGAATAATGAGTTCCATGGTGAAGAGATACTTGGCATTAACAATCCAAGTACCAAGTTGAGCAAACTAAAACATTTTAGACTAAGAAAAGATACCTCGAAGTTTTGCGTCATTTGCAAAATTGAATAAAGATCCCCTCCATCGCTTTCATCTGAGTAGCTGATCAGAGCTCTGCAGTACTCAGTTTGAAACCACCCTTCAGTTTGATGAGAAACCATTGGTGATCTGTGAGTATAGTTTTCCAACCAACTTTGCTGAAATCAAGGTAAATTACATCCACCACATTTCCATAATCAACTACACTACTAACCCAAAGAGAGGCAGGGGTATCAGGCAGAAGTTACACTCAACAAATCCATGGTAGGCTTTCTGCTAATCACTGCATTGTTATGAAGATGCTTACAACAAAATGCTTATTGGGACTTGATGTTCTAGCACAGTGGTTCCCAATTAGATAATTACTAAGGACCCCCTATTTTTCAAAAGCCAAGCCACAGACCCCTTACTTTTGAAAATTTTGATAACTCTATGGTAGTTAGCTCTACAAAGCATTTTTTTAAACAAAATGTGGGGTAGCAAAGGATTTCAGGTATACTAAAAAACACGGACCATAAAATTTGTGATATTACCATGCAAAAATGACAAAAAATTAGTTGTGGGAGAGGCAAGGGATGGGGCCGCGGACCCCCTGTGTGCGTTCCACAGACCCCCAGGGATCCCTGGACCCCTAATTGGGAACCACTGTTCTAGCATCTTCCTTGGTAATGAAGTCAGATTGACCAGCCTGTAATCTACTGAATTCTCCCTCTTCCTTTTTTTAAAAGATTGGCCATCAGCCTGTTTCCTGTCCAGTAGAGTTCAAAGTATAACGTAAGGAGGCACACATCCCTCTGCATATCAGATTACTACCCCTAGAGTTTCCAGTGTTCACTCTCTGTTCTAGAGAAGGTCCTAGATGAGCAGCAAACCATTCATAAAGTTGTTTGTTCTGTCTGAATGCTGCTTTCTGCAAACCCACAAGATTATACTAGAAATGGCCATCCCACAATGATACACACATCTGCATAAATATCCCCAAGCATGACAAAGCACAGCCTTAGAGGTTTTCCTCACAGTGATGGGTTGCAGCCTGGGCTGGGCCCAAGCCCTTGTGGAATGTACCCATCTTTTCCGACCTTGCCTAGACCTTGCTGTAGGGTGAAGCGATGACACACCCAACCTAGTCAAGACTTCAGGTATTCAGAGACTGTACAACTCAGTTACAAAAGCTCTCAGGCGGCAGTCTTCAGCCTGTAGCATCTTAGCTCCTGGACAGTCCAAGAGCAGCTGCTGTAGCCAGTCACAGCAACAGGAGCAGCTGCTGCACAGCAGCTGCACCCCATGTGCTTCCAATGCCAGGTATGCCAGCGGTTTGCCAGGACTCAACTGCCTCCATTGGTACATGGCAAGGGAGAAAGTTTTGTGGATTGTGCCTTTTGCTGCTAAGTTTTGGAATAAATATTTGCAACATGGTGATGTCAATGAATTCTTCTAACTATGCTTTAGTCGGAGTAGATCCACAGAAATTAATGGGTCTAAACTGGCCGCATCCATTCATTTCAATGGGTCTACTCAATGGGTCTACTCAGGGCGCAGGTGGCGCTGTGGTCTAAACCACTGAGCCTAGGGCTTGCCAATCGGAAGGTCGGTGGCTCGAATCCCCGCGACGGGGTGAGCTCCCGTTGTTCGGTCCCAGCTCCTGCAAACCTAGCAGTTCGAAAGAACGTCAAGTGCAAGTAGATAAATAGGTACCGCTCTGGCGGGAAGGTAAACGGCATTTCCATGCGCTGCTCTGGTTCTGCCAGAAGCGGCTTAGTCATGCTGGCCACATGACCTGGAAAAACTGCGGACAAACATCGGCTCCCTCGGCCAGTAAAGCAAGATGAATGCCACAACCCCAGAGTCGTTCACGACTGGACTTAACTGTCAGAGGTCCTTTACCTTTACTTTTTTTACTCAGAGTATAACTAACATTGCACACAACCCAGTCTTTTTATGCCAACTTCACTTTCCTGTCCCCCAACGCAGAGAGACCTAGCAGGATCTCTAATGAGACAGAGCTCCCAATGTGTCAAATCAAAACTAAAGATGTTTAACCAAACAAGACATGCTGTTGCAAACGGAGGCCAAAACAGACAAAGAAGCAATTTATGTGACAGATGCCTGCTGCTTTTGTTTGAGAGATGAAAGACGGACACATCTGCTAGTCTTTTTTTTTTTTTTTAAGGCTAAAAATCATTTCCCTTGTTAACCGCAATGCATAAGAAAGAACAACTGGGCACTGCAACAGGAGCACATTGCTACAGTTACTGCTAAAAAGGATGAGCATCAAATGTAATATTGGTTCCTCTCAGGGCTATGCATAGAGAAAAGAGAGCCAATAGATACGGTCGTTTTAGGCATGGGCAGGGGAAGCAAGATGGTTTACTTTTATTCTGCCACTGTGCCTGTTACTCACTTAAAAAAAAAAGTTCAAGTTATTTACATATGAATGGCTGCTATAAGCAAGCAAATAAAGCAACATCTGTAAAAGGACAGCATATTTACTTATGATGAGCATAAACAAATATGTGTTCACCTATGCATTGCAATATTTTAAGCATCACTAGAAATACCAATAAACTTAGGTAGCACCCACAGCAGGTTTAAAATGTAACATGATTTACCTGTGGTGGAAGTTCTCACTCTTGTGGTTTTTCTGGAAATACTCCCCTATAACACCTTGCATCAAAGGTTCTTGGGGTCGATGTGCTTTGGAGTATGGCGAAGTCCCCATGTGGCTAAAAACATCACAGGGTCCAACAGGAATGGTCCCTTTTTTCTTCCTCGGAAGGGTGCCATGAATGGAAACATCTTGACAGGTATGGGAGCGATGGTCTGCCAGAGATGGTTTGCTGCTCAAAAGGTCCATAGAAGATGCCAGCGAGAACTCATGGCTCATCTGCATATTTCTTGGGAGACTTGCAAATTTCCCAGCTGCTATCATTCTTAATTCTAGAAAACAAAAGTTGTGCATGGTGGAAGTTAGAGAAACACCAAAGCTAACTTCTTGGATCAGGGTAGGCTAAATCATGGATCAATTGTTTCTATTCAAGTTGCTCCTGTATATTAGAATCATAAAGGAAAAAAGAAAGAGCATATCCCTAAAATTAAGGGTTGGCAACTGAGAGCTCTGAAAGCAAGAAAGGCTGCCACAAATATACCCAGTTTTAGATTCTAGTGTCCTGGCTTTCACCACAGTAGCTGCTGTGACTTCCAAGTCAACGCTGCACTGGCAAGAATTTAGATGGAAGAGTGCAGTTGGAATAGGAACAACATGGGTAGCTGTTGATAACCGCTCAGTCATCCCTGATAGCTACTTATAAAGGTAACTGAAAATTCTGTAAAACAAGAGGGAAATCTGCAATAGTAGTGTCAATGGCTACTATTGCTCTGATATCCAACGTGAGAGCAGCTCAGCTCACCAAGCTGCAATTGTATACTGGTCTCATCCACTGGTGTAATACCTTACACAATGCTTTGCCAGTACAGTGGTTTATAGGATTGGCTGAATATGCATGACAAGACCCAGGGCTGGAGACTCAAAACATACACGTGAGTGTTCGGAAGGATTTCTGGAGGTTAAGCTGTTATTACCGAAAACATTTATCTTTCTAATTGTTTTTTAACCCCCAAGTTTTTAAGCAGGTCAAACATCAGCCAAGAATCATTAACTACAGCTAAGCTGTCAGAAAAGACTGATATTGTACAGACTATCCTCAATTTAAGAGATTACAAATCTAAGCTCAGCAAGAGGTGCCATTTGAAAAAAATACCTTTAGTGCTGCAAGAAAGTGGCTTGAGAAGCAAAGGTATGCTCATGTATCTAAATGCCTGCCAACAAAAAATGCACACACATGCTTGGATCGTGAGTTCCTATGAGCAAAACTCTGCTCATGGGATGTTCCCTCCAGCGTAAGTGGGGGAGGCAATTTTCAGATTCTCTATCCCCTTGAAAATCTGTAGGGGCCCTTCCAGAACAATGAAGTGGGAATGCAAGGAAAGGAGGAACTGGCAAAAAGTCTGTCCCTGTCTTCTACCTGTAGGAGTCTATGCTGGATCAAAAGACCTTTGACAAATGGAATGAGACTTTCTCAAAAACCTGCAGCCAAGGAATTGCAGTCTTACAATAGATATACCGTATTTTTCGCCCTATAGGACGCACTTTTTCCCCTCCAAAAATGAAGGGGAAATGTGTGTGCATCCTATGGGGTGAATGCAGGCTTTCCCGGGCTTCCTGCAGCTCTGCACCACCCTCCGGAGCCGGGCGCGAAGCCGCGTGGGGCTCCGGAGGGTGGCGCAGAGCTGCCTGCGCTCCTGGGCTTCCTGCAGCTCTGCGCCACCCTCCGGATCCCAGCGCGAAGCCGCGTGGGGCTCCGGAGGGTGGCGCAGAGCTGCCTGCGCTCCAGGGCTTCCTGCAGCTCTGCGCCACCCTCCGGAGCCCGGTGCAAAGCCGCGCGGGGCTCCGGAGGGTGGCGCAGAGCTGCCTGCATTCCGAAGCCTGGTGCGCGCTGAAGAGCGCGCCCGGGCTTCGCACACCTCTCCGCAAGCCTGGGGAGACCGGCGCGGACAGCAGGCTGTTCTGGGGGCTGGGGAAGCTCGGGCTTCCCCCATGCCTGCCCCGTGCCTGGGGGGGGAAAATAATTTTTTTCTTTATTTCCCCCCCCCCAAAAAATTAGGTGCGTCCTATGGGGCAAAAAATACGGTAAATAGGGTGCAGAAGTAGGCAAGGACATAACAGAGGTGTCAGTTGCAAGCATCCAAATGCCAACACAAATCAAAACATCTGATTGAAATGAATGGAGGGCAGGGATAGTTGTGGGTAACACCAAAAGAAATAATATCCATTTTATGCAACTGTTAAAATCTGAGTTCTGGGCTGGGGGGAAAACCTGTAGCATTTATCCCATGGTAAAGTTAAGTGTTCTCAGTGTAAATTGTACAAATAGGTCACAAAATTACCTTCTCGTGTACTTTTCTCATATGTTTTTCTCATACATGTCTCCTCATCTCTACTATTTGTAGCTGCTGCACTGTATTTGCACTTACCTAGGAGTAAACCCCTTTGAACTAAATGGAATATACTGCCGGGTACACATGTACAAAATTTCAGTGTAAGAGGGTTATTCATATTCTGTGTTATTCCCCTTAAGGTACACACTCCTGCAAGACTTTATCCTAAAAATACCATGGGTGGAATTCAATGTCACACTATGTTGAACATCCCACCTGTGCAAGCATATTAGCTTGCCAGTTGAAATTATCCCCCTTTCCCTAGTTTTTCTGGGGGTTTTCATGAGTCCTCCTCCCAACAAGCCAATTTCAGGAGTATGTGGAGTGGAGCCCCTTTGAGCAAGCCCAAACCCTTGCATGGGGCTTCTACCAACAGGGTTTGTTAAGTGAATCCTGCCCTATGGTTTTATGTAACCCTTACAGGAGGCTCAAGAAGGAATCTTCCTCCCCTGGAGGGAATTCCCTATGCAAACCAATATCCCAGCACGAAAACATCCAAGACATGCTTACTAATACAGGCAACCAGCATAAAATGTTCACAGATATGGCTTTTTGCTGAGCCTAAGCAGTTGTAGAAGTTGTTCACTACACAGCTGGGAGATCTCAAAATGCCTTAAAGGATATAGTATTAAATTCAGAGATGAGTATTGCTGAAAAAGCAGATTTGCTAGGAAATACTCTTTTCTTCTTTCTCTGCCAGTGTCAGCTCAGTCAACCAGCTTCAAGGGTTGGATCAAGATGCTGGAGGGGTTTATTACAAAAAGATATGGGAACAAGTTTTGCATGTCTTTGCTGAAGTGCGATCAACTACAAAGCTTCAAACTCTGAGAACTAAGGTCACTTGGTACAATTTTTATCTAGGAGTTCCATGATGTCTCCAGTTAAAGCTACCAACTTTTGAAGCCAGCCTCCAAAATAAGGCCATTTATCTCCATGCTTTACAACTGTTCACACTGATTTCTACATGTTAAGCTGCTATTTAAAAGGCACAAGTGATATCACAGGGTATTTTTCCTGATGAGTTGGCAACCTGGTGATGAATCAAGGTGTGGACTGGGAAACCCACCAATGTTGGTTGAGTAGACATGCTTATACATTCTTTCCACATTATTATTTTCATCAAGAAAATGACTACAAAAATAACCCCAGGAAAGCGTTTTATTCTGTTTTCCTTAGAATGTTAGAGTAAACAGAATAAATGCAATGTAAGGAGCCTGTTGGATAATGATTAATGTGTGTCATTGTTAATCAGTTTCTAGTCCATTCAGGAAACCAGCAGGTATGAAGTACTACAGACTCCTGTCAATCATCAAAACTCTGGTTGTTGGGCACACCCACAGGGATAGACTGGAGTGACATCACTGCTTAGGTACTACAAACCACAAGAAAAGTTATGAAGCAGACTGTTAAATCTTCTTGAATGCCAGTACTGTGGTTCAATCTACGCTCATTAAAAGTTTGCAAAGCACAGTCCCAAACATTCAAGTGAGATCATTAGTGTCCTTGCCCTCCTTATCTTCTTTGATTTGACTGCTTCTTGGCAAGGTTGTTTGAAATGAAGTTAAACATGCCATCAGACCCTTTTGAAAGTTTTACACCAGTATCAAGGGTATCAAGAGTGAACATTTTGTTCACTCTTGTCCTCAGGGAGCAAAAAAAAATTATTTTAATTCCACATACACCTTATTTCCTGTTCCACATTCAAACATTCCAAGGCAGGGATGGCCAACATCTTGGGGGTGGGTGGGGTGCTACTTCCTCATGAACAGTAAGACTTCCAATGAGAGCTTCCCACTTACTGATCACACAGTGATCAGGGCAGGACTTTGGGGCAGAAGGCCAATGCCTCACCAAACAGAAGAAAGAGGTGCTCCCGAAATGCACAAGAGCTAGCTAATAATAATAATAATAATAATATATAATAATAATAATAATAATTTATTATTTATACCCTGCCCATCTGGCTGGGTTTCCCCAGCCACTCCGGGCGGCTTCCAACAAAACACTAAAATACAATAACCTATTAAACATTAAAAGCTTCCCTAAACAGGGCTGCCTTTAGATGTCTTCTAAAAGTTTGGTAGTTATTTTTCTCTTTGACATCTGGTGGGAGGGTGTTCCACAGGGCGGGGGCCACTACCGAGAAGGCCCTCTGCCTGGTTCCCTGTAACTTGGCTACTCGCAGTGAGGGAACTGCCAGAAGGCCCTTGGTGCTGGACCTCAGTGTCCAGCTTATCACATTCTGAAGCAATTAATACATGCTACCATCAAAAGAGCGCCCCCGCAGAAAAAACATTAAGTAAAGAATCTAAAATTACTTAATTGCACCACCGAGAGCATGTGTGAACCAAGTAGCTAGTCCAGTGGTGCAGCATCATTGAACAAGTGTACACAGAGCTGACCTGATCAAAGTTGGAAAGAGTGAATCTTTATTATTTCAGCCTTGCATCTTGCAGACACTGCTGGGTCATGAAATTGGATAATACTGGGATCTAGATCAAATAAAAATGGGATTCGGCTCTGGGACAAACAAACAAACAAAACCTTGAAACGACTTAAATTGCATCTCTAGAAACATGTTCTCTTATTAGCTGGGGGAATGCCTAAAACCATAACAAAAACAGATTCCAAAAACAACAAAGTATTATTTTAGTTTGCTTCTTTTGTATCTTTTTTTCCCAACATGTCACAGTAGAATTATATCTGCAGCGTGGTCATTAACCCTAAGGCTAGTTTTGTTGACAGAAAGCTACAAGGAAGAGATAAAAGAAGTTAAAACCTCAAAACTCACAGAGAAACAGGTTGTTACACCAGCAGTTAAGTTTATAGTCTGTGGGTAGAAAGTTACACTTAGATCTGGAAGACTTGGGCTGAAATCTATCTCCACCACAGATGCATTTGCCAGCCAATCCACTTATTCAAACTAAACATAGTCTGGCACT